ATTTAAAGCAGAATAGCTATTCCTGATTTGCTTATGGAGTTATTCAGGAATAACTAGTCCACTTTAAATTCACACCCTACCTTAATCTGAATTCATTTCTTTATGTAGACAAGATCTACTCTTGAAAATTAATTCGGAGTAAGGTAGATTGTGGATTTAAAGTGGAATAGCTATTCTGAATAACTCCAAGTTTGGACATGCTTATTCTGGAATAATAGGAGTGCCCTTTTCCTGTTTACTTAAAAATAGATTAAACTAAACCAGAACCAAGCAATCTTATTCTGGGATAAGAGAGTCCACACAGGCAGTTATTCCTAAATAGTTATTGTGTAATAACTCCCTGTGTAAACAACCGTTTATACTAGCATAAGAGTGTTCACACAAGGGACTAGCCGGTATAACTATATTGGTTTAAGGCAACAGAGGGTCCTGTGGCACCTTTAAGACTAACAGAAGTATTGGGAGCATGCTCCCAATACTTCTCTTAAAGGTGCCACAGGACCCTCTGTTGCTTTTTACAGATTCAGACTAACACGGCTACCCCTCTGATACTATATTGGTTTAAATTCACACCTTAGATTATACCCCATAAACCTTCCTATATAGACAAGGCCTAAATCATTGTTTTTTTTCTACCGATTTACTGAAATCTGTGCAGAACTGGGAGTACACTAGCTCTAACTGGGAAAATGTAAAAAATGTCAAAGCTCACATGCACTCAACTACACAACACGGTATGCGCTTTACTGTGTCACAGAACTAGCGTGCTGTGCTTGGGAACCTCAACAAGGTAGTTTTGTATAGATGAGTCATTACCTGGTGTGGGATTTTTAAACAGGAGGAAGCCCAACCTTAATAACTTTGGGGTTTAAGTGATCTTAATTCAGTTTCGAAATCCTACGACAGAGTTCACAATTCGTTTAAATAAATGGATTTAAGAAACTGACTTGCTAACGCTATTGTTTAGCTTGAGATTTTAAGGTTAGGTTAAGCTGATTGCTGTATCTTTGCAAGTGAAAATATGAAAACTTCAAATCGCAAGATCTTTTTTCCCGGGCCAGGACTTGCTTCTAATCCTGCTGTTAAGACAGTAGAGAGGCCTTTGTTTGTTTTTGGTTAGGAGGAGGGGGGGATGGTAAGGATGAGCAGAAGACTGTGTATGCGTCAAGAAAACATTTAACATATTCTTTATGTAAATTGCTCCCCCGTCAGCAGCAGATCTGGTATCTGACAGGATGGACCCAGAGAACTTGAACTAAAGCAGGACTTGTCTTAATATGTTACAAATCTGTCACAAACGCCTTCAAAGCATGATAACAAATGCGTAAGTGGTTAAATGTTAAGATCTTTCAACAAATTGTCCACGAACATTCTTACCAATCAGAACTAAATTCACTTGGGCTGTTTTCCTGGGCTTTCTATAGTCACTTTCCATAAATATCCTAGAGAACATTGTGTAACATTGTCAAAAGTGGCTACGTGATTTAGGAGGCTAATTTAAGTCTAATTTTCTGAAAGTCAAGGCGCAGGAACTGTTAGAAATGTTACCCGGAGTGCTGGGGCAGTTCTCAAACATGCTACATTTTAAATTAACTTGACCAAATATTCAGAGTCAATTTTGAACTCCTAAAAGGGAATATTGGGCGCCAGAAACCCGATTCTTACTCAAACAGGGAAGAGGAACTATATCAACTAAACCATGTATCAAATCAAATTAAAAAACACGTCCCAAATTTCAGATGCCAAATACTCTAATCGAACTGTTGAGAAATTATCTACATACCAAAAAATATTAATAGACGCAATCTGTCAAATGTTTGATTAGTGAATAAACATGTTCATAAACTGTTTGTATAGTTACCCCCCCCCCCCCACCTACACCTCCATCAGAAAAAAAAGGCTAAATTTATCAAATAACACTCACCGGTAATTATTCCCAGCTCTGATTGTTATGTAAACTTTTTTCATATTTGGTCATGTACATAATTTATGTACATGACAAATTTCAAAGTTCACCCATTTTTTTAACTATGTGAAAAGGGGCTGGCAATTTTACGGAGGGGGTGGAGACAAGGAAAGGGATTCAACCCATACCTCAAAAACAGCTAGAGATGTTGCTCCGACCCAAAAACCACAACGTCACCTATTTATTTCCAAGGAATTTCAGACCCAGGGAAGAACCAGGACAATTTCTGCCAAAAAGGACGGGTGACGATTAATTGAAACTATTTTCCATCCCTAGCTGTGGCCTGCATTATTAAAGGCACGGTAATTCAAACAAACAAAATACCACCACGGTACTTTCCCAGGATAATTGAGTGGGTATCATGTATATCTGTACTTAGGAACATTTCTCTAAACGTTATTTTTGATCAGACATGATCATCTGATTTTCTCATTGAGATTGCGGGGAATTTGACTGTTTTTACTGAATTTGTCCGAGTCGCTGAAATATATGTGCAGGTTAAAAGCTCTATTACAGATACATTTTTATGCTGACGTTTTAAGGGATCTCTGCATGGGATCAGGGCATCCTAATTTATACCTAATTCTGCTCCGGGATCTGCTTGGAGAGCTGCTGGGCTGATCGCAACAGCCATGATTCTACCAACCCCAGCTTGGGCTTCAACCTTGTATTATCCCTAGCTACTTGCGAATAACATGTCCGCGGCTTGCTCTAGATAGCCAGTCCAAAATGGACTTCCTGCTAATTTCTTTACCTGACAGAAAACATTCAACGATATTTGGTTAAAATTGCAAGGTCCACATAGCTCATTCAATATAGTCACATCAAAAACTGGAATAAATAATCCCCCTCACACACACTTAATATCAGCTAAGGGACATTAATATCCTTCTGAAGTCGAATGATAAAACAGATCTGCTACTATTTTGCACGTACACAAATGGAGCAAAAAAAAGTCTGAATGCACCTTTTCCAAAAGGCAGCATAGGAATAATTTGACATGCTTTGAAAATTTTACCATTTTTGGTCAAGTCATGACCCTTTTCACACAGGGCCATCCTCTAGACATGGGGCTCTAACTTTTAGAGTAAAGCAGAGTGCCACTGGATTGTAACGAAAAGCAATGAAAAGTAAAGTAATGCTTTAAGTAAGAGAAGTATTTTTCCTTTCCCTCAAATACCACACTGATTGGTGCCTAGCAGAGATTTTGCAGAAACATAGGCAATTTAGAATATTTACATCCAACTGCCCACACAATCAAGTGTTTAGAAGTATAAATTATCTAAATTGTGCCTGTAATTTCCAGGTGCAAAAAATGTAGGCAAGCAAAGATATGGTAACATTTGAAATCTGGTCCTAATTAATTTGTTTGAAAGGGCCTCTCCCTAATGAATTGTATCATTACTCCTAGGCAAACCCTATGCCCGATGTCATATTTTTGCATATATTAGGGCAAAATTATCTGTAGAATTCCAAACACAAGAGATCTGCTCTCAGCTAACCTGAGTGAGGAGACACAGAATGGTGTGGAGTACACAGCACACAGTCACACCACCACTGTACAGTGAAAAGAGCAACAGGGAATGATACCGACTATTTTAGGAATCTTGAGAGTAGAACATTGTACAAAGAAAGTGAGCTTTGTGTTCTAATTCAAAAGTTGCTACTATAATGAAGTCATATGCTACATTTCAGACTTAATACCACATAACTGCGTTAGGGCCTGATCCAACATTCATGGATCAGGCGCTGTCTGCATCAGTTTTCAGGTAAAGGACACTATTTCATTTCACTGTCCAGATAAAAGTCAGGTGAATCATAGGATAGCTAGACCTTCCCTCTCACCCCATCTCCAAGGGCTCTATTCTGCCACTCATGCCTCGGGCAGTAAAATACTTCAAATAGTGTCATTGATTTCACTGGGAGTGAAGTGTTACTTAGGATAAAGGAAGCAGAAGCCTATTATAAAACTGAATACGAATTTATAAATCCAATGTCACCACTTGATTCACCCCTAGTTCGTCTTAGTTGAAAACGTTTTCTGAAATTAAACATTTTAATCCCTTATAATTATGCATGTGTTTTTAACAGTAACACTGGAATGACCGCACCGAAAGGTTTTTCTATCTGAAGTGGCGCTGACATATTTGCAAGGTCAGACCTAAATGAAGGAGTAATGCTTACCAGTAAGAACACTGACGTCTAAATACCTATTTTGATTTATTAATGGAATGCTAGGTTGCAAAAATAACAGCTTCCTGAATATCTGGGAATCAGCTATGGAAAATTGAACTCTAGAAGCCCCCGATTTGCACGTGTGTTACAGTGTGTTAACTAAAATACAATGTCAGATTTATGCTTGAGGAGACATTGACTCCCCTCAGTCTTTTCCCATAAGTGAATCCTCTTCCACATACACTGAAGACAGGCGTTCAGTCGCAGACTACATTATTTCTACATGAGCTAGTTGCATTTGTTGGTTGGCACTTTTAAAGAACGATCCTGTTCCCAATGAATTCAAACGTCTGGACGATTCATTAGATGCACGACAAAGAGCTTAAATATTTTGGTGTAATATTTCCTTTCCCCTTTAACTTTAATTTTATTATAAGCATACAGATAAAGCAGGTTCTATTAAAATTTTTAAGTTCAGTTAGACTCTATTAGCCTCTCCAAACCAAATCCCTAAAAAAACCCATCAGTATCTGAATTTTCTAATAAACAATATTTTGAGGGGAGAGATATTTATCATTTCCTTCTGCCATTTAACTGAGATAAAACCCAATTAAAAAAAATTAATAAAAATAATAAAAAAATCGTTTGACATTACCTCCGATTACTTATATTTAAGTATAATGAAGTTCTCTTTACTGTAAAGGCTTTGAATGAAAACAGGACATTTATCTAAGTAGTTAGCTACTAAAGGGAACAATTCAGTAACTATCAAATACATTAAAATAATACTAATCGTAGATGTAAGGGGATATAAAAATGAAAAATTTTATTATTTTTCCCTTTATTTGTAAAAGTGCAAAATTAGTCTGTACAAAACCCAAATTCCATATGTATAAAATTGAACAGTCACAACATTTTAAACAGCATCGGGAACTCTTCCAGGAGCTGATAAGTTACAGTCCAACTGTGCAGCTATCTGAAGTTTAAATAGTTTTAATTTTCAGTTCAGGGTGAAACACTAGAATTGCACCACTTGGGGATCAGATGGAGAGCTGTCTTTCAAACCTTGAGTGGGTCTCTGTCACTTGTCAGTTCTCAAGATTCCAATAAATTACATAAATAGGAGCAAAGCACACACCCTTCTGTACAAGGCTTCCCATCACCAGGGAGTCCGCCACACACTCCCAGCTACTTCACACAGCGAGAGCGCTGGGAGTGACAGTGTCTCTTAGGCGTCTGGGTAAGTGCAGTAATACACAGCAGTACTTGCATCCGAAACCACCGAGGAGATGGGCCCGTGGGCCTCTGGGGCGGGCAGGCCGGCTTCGTGGCCCTGGAAGTGGAGCCCTAGCTCGGGCTTGCAGGCGAAGTGCAGGTACTGCTCGAATTCGGTGCGATCCACGTCGCCCAGCAGCTCGTCCTGCGACAGGTGCTCCAGCGACTCCCTGCACTGCTGCGCCTCGGGCGGCGGCGAGGGCTGGCAGGGCTGCGGTGGGAGCTGGGGAGCGCGGGCCGGGCCGGCGGGCGGGCACAGCTGCCCGTAGTAGGCGTGCAGGGGGCCCTGGCAGCCCAGCAGGCTCTGCAGGGAGCTGAGCTGCCCCAGCGGCTCGGCGCGGGGCAGGTGCCTGCGGAGCGCGGCGCTGGCCTGGCTCTCGGCCCCGTGCGCGGGGTACTCGGCCGCGGGGTAGCCGTAGGGCGCCAGCTGACACTCGTCCTGCAGGGGCGGCGTGAAAAAGCCCGGCTCGGTCTCCGCCGCGTCCAGCGGGGAGGGGTCCGGGGTCGGCAGGTTGTAGCCGTCGAAGGCGGCAGCCAGGGGCTGGCAGTCCCGGTAGTGGCCCAGCGCCGGGGGCAGCGCGCTCTGCACGGCGGCGTAGCCCTGCTCCGGGTAGGACAGGGCCAGGCTCTCCACGCACATCCTGCTGCCCTCGCTGGCCAGCCCGGCGCCCGGCGCCTCCGCCAGCCCGTGCGGCAGGAAGCCGCTTTCCACGCGCTTCAGGCGCTTCACCTGCTTCCGCCGGCGCGGCCGGTACTTGTAGTTGGGATGGTCCTGCATGTGCTGCACCCGCAGCCGCTCCGCCTCCTCCACGAACGGCCGCTTCTCCGCCAGCGACAGCGCCTTCCAGGCCTTCCCTGCGGGGCAACAAACCGCGTAACCCTGCGGCTCTTCCGTGCGCCTCCCCGTGCGCCCCGCTCCGTGCGCCCCCACCCAGCACCGGGCCGCCTCCATCCCCGCTACCCACCCCGGGCGCCCCCCACCCATCACCTGGCCGCCTCCATTCCCCCCCTACCGACCTTGGGCGCCCCTCCCTGCTCCGGACCCCAGCCGCCTCCATCCCCCCTCAATACGCCCCCCACCCAACTCCCGGCCGTGTCCACCCCTTCCCCCACCCTGGGCGCCCCTCCGGCACCCGGCCGCCTCCATACCCCCAGTGCGGCCCCCCAACGCCCGGCCGCCTCCATCCCCCCGTACCCAACCCGGGCGCCCCCCACCCGGCAGCCTCCATTCCCCCCACCCCCAAGCTCCCCTCGCTAACCCAGTCCCTAGGCGAGAGGCATTGGCAACTCCTGCCATACCCTCTGCCCCAGCGCACCAACCCCGGGTCCAGTCCGGGCGCCGCAGCCGCCTCGCCCGTGGGGCAGGTACCAGCAGCACTCGGTAACTTTCCCTGCACGCCGCTCGCAGAGTGCGGGGAGCCTCCTCCACTTCCCAGCTCCGGGCCGGGCCGGGGCAGGTGGGAGGAGAAAGCCCCCCTGGCCCGGCTCGCGAGCGGACACTCACCCAGCATCTTGCTGAGCTCCGCGTTGTGCAGGTCCGGGTTCTGCTGCGCCAGCCGCTTGCGCTCGTCCTTGGCCCACACCATGAAGGCGTTCATGGGCCGGCGGATGCGGGACTCGCTTTTGGCCCGGCTGCTCGCAGCCCCCGCCGGGGCCGCCTCACTCTTCACCTTGGCGTCTCCGAGGGGGCTCAGGGACTCTGCCCACTGGCAGGGGCCCAGGGCCGGCATCATGATGGGGAGCGAGCACCTTGCCTGCGTCTGGTCGTCGCTGCTGGCGTAGCCCGCATCGGGGCTGCTCATCTCGGGGCAGCCGGAGCCACCGGGAGGAGCCGGGCTGAACCGGACCCGCCTCCGACCCCTCCCCGGGCAACAGCTGGGAGGAAAAGGACCGTCTGCTCCGACCAGCCCCCTCTCCCCTGGCTCGGCTGGGGCAGCAGGGACAGCTCCCCTGGCAGGCTGGGCGCAGGACGCCGCTGATTGAAGCGGGGTCTCTAGTAGGGGCGGGGGGGCAACAGGCTCACTGCTGGCAGCTGTCAGAGCGCGGCCCTATTTACCCAGAGCCGCGGCCAATGGCGGGGCGGGGGCGGGGTCTCGGCTGGGAAGGTGACGGGGGGCTCAACGCTCCGAGCGGGGAATGGAAGAGTCCCAGCCCCGCCCCTTCCCGCTACTCTTTACCTGTGCAGGTTACAAGACAGACAGCGCCGGGCGGGGACGGATTTTTCCAGGATTCAGGGTGGGGGGAATTATTCGGTCAAGAAATCGTCCATGTGAGCAAATTATAAACCGATACTTAGCTAAAAGAACAGGAGTACTTGTGGCACCTTAGAGACTAACGATACTTAGCTGTAACCTTAACTATGGAGACACGGGAGGTGGATGTATAATGGAATGCATAACGAGAGATCTTTTGTATGGATTGTTTGTATTGGCCCTGGAGATCATCTCATACATGGACTCTCGTCTATGTCTTAGCTTGACAAATCACCTGCTTCATGTTTGGTTTACTAATATTAAAAACTAAGCAACACTCAGTTTATTTAACGTGAAACGTGTCCCTGGTTGTGTTTTATATCGAAATGTGTGTAAGTGACATTAAAATTATACCGATTTCTGAAATAAGTTTGTTTTTAAATTGCCTTTTAATTGTCTCTTTATGAAATATTTTTGTTTTTTAAATGTGTTAAAATTAAATATATCAATATTCTCCGAAAACATCAAGTGTCCTTAAACATTAGATTGTGAGAGATTCTTATTGAGATAAGGAAGTCTGTTTGGACAGCTCTCGGCAAATAAATTAATATTGAATGAATGAATGAATGAATCATGCTTTAGGTTAATTAAGTCCATCTGGCAAGTAAGCGCAACACTTTTCCCCCCGATAAAGTATGCAACTCTTTGTCAACTCCTCTCCACCAAATAGCTGGCAAGGGTGAAAGAGGAAATCACTGGATAATGTTAAACATATGCAGTGTTATGACTGGCTGCAGTGCCCAGAACCTTAGAGTTCAGGTGCCAAGTACCCATGATGACCAAGGGGATTGTGCATTCGTTTGTTTGTGGGGGTTTTGGTTTTGGTTTTGTTTGTTTTTTGGTCGTCGTCTTCTTCTCTAGAAGCAAATGTACTAATTACTTTGGCTTCTTTAGATTTCTTCCCATGCCTGTGTTTCAAATGATAACATGCAAGCAGTTTTGTGTATTTCTTATAAAATAAAGTAATTTAACCCATTAATTTAGTCCTTAATCTACCTCAAAGGACCCAAACCATTAGCAAGTGAGTAGTTTAACGACAGGCTCCACAAAGAGAAACCATTCCATCGAACCGTTTGCTGGAGGGGAAAGGGTTTGGGAATGGAATACACACTGCTCAAGAAGGATCAAGGCCAGCAGTGATTGAAAGGTGTCGTTGTCGGCTTGTTTAGCAGATGTTACAGAAACCAATGCAGACCAAACCTATTCTATTCTATTCTATCTACTTGAACTGCAGAGTAGATTTGTTTCAGAGTAGCAGCCGTGTTAGTCTGTATCCGCAAAAAGAACAGGAGTACTTGTGGCACCTTAGAGACTAACAAATTTATTAGAGCATAAGCTTTCGTGGGCTACAACCCACTTCTTCGGATGTCTGCCTCAGTTACAAACTGTATCTTCACAACCCTAAGGACTAGAAACATTGTTTTGTTTAAAATTGTAAACAGAATCTGCTTCACAGTTCTGCAGTGCAGGAACTGCAGAATACTTGGGAGGCTGGCTGTATAGTTCCATGGAATTTACATACACTTAGGATACAGAAACTTTGGAGTAAAATCATAGTTATATTTACAGGCCAGCGCATAAGTCACCTTTTGGTGACTACAGGCCAAAGCCTGTCATTCCTTCAATGTGCTCTGGGCACTGCTAGTAACAACTTCATAGGATTTGATGCTTTAGCAGGCTCCACATGCTGAAATCAATGCAGATGGAGGAGCTCCTGTTCTGGATTACCACCACCGTTCCTGTATATTAGTGATATCAGAGCACCAAAATGTAGAGAATAAAGAGGGATATAGGATCTTATTGGGGGAAAGGTAGATATGCCATATTCTGCCTCCAAAATATACAAATAAAAATAAAATTGGTTGTTTTATACACATTTTAGAAGTAGTATATTATAAACTCACCTTAGTCACAAGGGATGTTGTGAGGCAAAATTCATAGGCATTTGTAATCACTATGAGATCCTCATATGGAAGAGCCCTGTATAGGAGCAAATAATGTGTTATTAATTTATTATAGATACTTGCCAGAAGCAAGATGACTCTATGCAGTTCCTTCCTCTAATGGCTAGGCACTAGGGAGTTTGGGCCAATAACTCAATTGTACATGGAATTTGTGTGCACAGCTGAATACTTTGCTGTGTACACATTTCTGGGTTTTATTCCCACTACCAACTTTTTTCTTCTTCCTGTAAACATATGATGAAAGAGCATCTGTACTAACAGAAAGTCACTCATAACTTTAAATGGAAATACTGAAAATGACATGAATAGTTAAGGCACTAGATCAAGACTTAGCTCTTGGCTCAGTTTCTGGCTCTACCACAGACTCCCTGGATGGCCTTGGTAAGTAACTTAGGCCCAAATATTTAGACAGGTGTTTAACATTAAGCACCTGTGTAGTCCCATTGACTGGAAGTCCTAGCTGCACAGTACTCTGTGCTAGATACTGGACAAATAGTAGGACACCGTCCCTGTCCTGAAGAGCTTTCCGTCCAAACTAACAAAATAGAAAAGAGGGGGAAAAGGAAGGGGAGGGATAGCTCAGTGGTTTGAGCATTGGCCTTTTAAACCCAGGGTTGTGAGTTGAATCCTTGAGGGGGCCACTTAGCGATCTGGGGCAAAATCAGTACTTGGTCCTGCTAGTGAAAGCAGGGGGCTGGACTCCAGTTCTAGGAGATAGGATATCTCCTAAAAAAAAAAGGTAACATTATTTTCATTTTACAAATGGGAAACTGGGGGAAAGAGTGACTCCCCTTCCCCAATCTTGCAAGCACTTAATTATTCCTGTGGTTAAAGTTAAGCTCATATTTGTTTACAGAATTTGGGCCTCTGGTCCTGGCTCCAGTAGAATTTGCAGGAGTGTAATTACATTGAGGTAGTTGATCATTTTTCCTCCTACCATTTGTCATTGTTGTTGATTTAAATTATAAACTCTTCAAAGCAGGGACTATCTCTTGGTATGTGTCTGTATGATGCCTCCTACAATGAGGCTCTGATTAATGATTATTAATCATATTTATTATGGTAGTACCTAAGGGCCAACCAAGAATGGGACCCTCTTGTGCTAGGCACTGAACAAATACAAAGTAGTAGATAATCCCTTCCCCAAAGATTTTACAATCTAAATAGACAGACAGACAGGATAGGAGTTGGGGGAAGAGATAAAACACACTGTTCCACCCCCACAACTTGCCCCAGCTTCTACTGGCCCTAACCTCCCATGCTACCCCATCCCCATACCTATTCCCTGTCCCAGCTCCTTCTGCCCTCTACACCAGCTCCTTTGATCCCCATCCATTCCCTTAACTCCTACTGCTCCCACTCCCTCAATCCTACTCCCACCCCAGCTCCTCTTGCACCTGCCCCATCCTACCCTCTGCTCAGCTCTCTGCCTTTCCTCCCTCCATCCCCCAATCCTACCCCAGCTACCTCTGTCCCTGTCCCCCTCAGGCCTGATGCTGATCTCAGATGCTGCCTCTAGACCAGGGGTGGGCAAACTTTTTGGCCTGAGGGCCACATCGGGTTTCTGAAATTGTATGGAGGGCCAGTTAGGGGAGTCTGTGCCTCCCCAAACACCCAGGTGTGGCCCGGCCCCACCCCCTATCTGACCCCCCTGCTTCTCCCCCCTGATGCCCCCGCAGGACTCCTGCCCCATCCACCCCCCCGTTCCCTGACGGCCCTCCGGGTCCCCTACTCCTTTCCCTCGTCCCGACTGCCCCCCGCAGCGCCATCCAACCCCCCTCTCCTTCCTGACTGCCCCCGACGCGCCCCCATTCAACCCCCCTGTTCCCCACCCTCTGACCGCCCCGACCCCTATCCACACCCCGACCCCTGACCACCCCCAAACTCCCCTGTAAACTTTGGGGTGAAGTTAATAAAACCCTTTCCCGGGCAACATAAATCAAACTGTAAAAAGGCTTTAGGGCTTGTGAATTTAAAGCAGAATAGCTATTCCTGATTTGCTTATGGAGTTATTCAGGAATAACTAGTCCACTTTAAATTCACACCCTACCTTAATCTGAATTCATTTCTTTATGTAGACAAGATCTACTCTTGAAAATTAATTCGGAGTAAGGTAGATTGTGGATTTAAAGTGGAATAGCTATTCTGAATAACTCCAAGTTTGGACATGCTTATTCTGGAATAATAGGAGTGCCCTTTTCCTGTTTACTTAAAAATAGATTAAACTAAACCAGAACCAAGCAATCTTATTCTGGGATAAGAGAGTCCACACAGGCAGTTATTCCTAAATAGTTATTGTGTAATAACTCCCTGTGTAAACAACCGTTTATACTAGCATAAGAGTGTTCACACAAGGGACTAGCCGGTATAACTATATTGGTTTAAGGCAACAGAGGGTCCTGTGGCACCTTTAAGACTAACAG